TTGGCCGCCTCTCGGAATGAGGACAACGTCTTCGAGAGCCACGTATTCTTCGACTCATCGCTCGCTGTCTTCATGTGAATGATCTCCGTTTGCGCCGAATTTAAGTGTAATATCAGTTCCTATTCATCGGATTATCACAAAACAAAACAAAACTTATTAATCCATTCATTGACGCATTTATTTGCAGTCAAAACAAATCATTCATTTACGATAAACCTATATCTTTAACATTGGTCTTAACGTCTTATAACAAGTTGTTTTCCACGCTTTTTATATTAAACTATTTTACCATAAGCTGAAAAATATGCTCTAATTTTGTAACTTATAAATAATTAATTGCATCAAAAATAGTCATGAATTTTTCAAAAACATTCAATTTCAATGTTTTGAATACATTTTCAAACCTTCAAATGAAAGGTTTATAATAATAGGATAGAAAATGTGTGAATTTATTGCAAACAAAAGCGTTTGTTTTGTAGTTTTAATGCGATTATAAGATTTACAAATACGTGAATTATTCAACCGAAATGAGACCCTAAAAGCAAAATTTACAATTTATTTCCACTTAGAATTAACTCATTTTATATTCAACATTATATGCGAGAATCAATTCTAGTAAACAATAATTTATAAATATTTAAACATTATATCTGTTTCAATCAAAATGAAAACTTCAAAATCAGCTTTGAATTCCCTTTTTACGCAAATCATATCCAATAATAAATATTAATTTAAATAATTTATGCATTAATAAGATATAAAATTATTAATTCATGAGAAAAATAGTACCGGAATTTTAATGTTTAATCATATCTTATATTTTGTAAAATAAATTAAGTATTTATATTATATTTAAATATTAAGTAGTTTTTAAAACATTTAACTGAAATTAATATCACAGTCAATTTGATAATAAATGCACAACTTTCATATACCCTGAGTATTTACACTAAAAACATAACATGCCTTACGTCGATTGCACGTAATAAACAACTAATTAATAGTCAAGTATTTAAAACATACAAAATCTACTGATTAATTAAAATAATATACAGCATATATAAAACGACTTCTCGTATAAGCCTTTATTATAAGGCATTAATTGCGAGTTTCAAAAAGCTTGTGTAAAAACATGACTTGAAATAGAAATATGAAAAGCAAAGGCACGGATACCTCATTCCTGCACTCGGACTCCACGAGCGCCACCTTTGCCTTCACCAACTCGGTCTCCAACTCATCGATCTTAAGCTGCAACTGATTGGGCGACCCATTGACAGAACCATCGGTCATATTATCATCGCTATTGTCGCCATTAATCTCTTTGTTGGGGCCATTGTTGGTGAAGAGTTGGGCGCATCGCTCGCAGTTCCGCACCTTTTCTAACATCTTCGACAACGACTCGCGCGAAGAGCTCTGTTCCGACTCGAACCGGGACTGCAATTGTGAACAAATCTGTTTGTATTCTACGATTATTTTGGCGTTTCGACTGATCTCCATCTCAGCCCTTTCCAGCTCCCGGCGACACATCTCCTGTTCCCCACAAATTCAATCAATACGTTAGTATTTGTGAGAAAACCAAACGATTGTTCATTTCAAACGTCAAATGATACTGACTTTCAAACACTTGACCTCATCTTCTAATCTCTTCTTCTCGTCCTCCACTTCCACGAGAAGACCTCTTGTGGTCAGGAGTTCTGTGGACAGGGTGTCGGCCTTGTCCTCCACTTTGTCCAAATCGGATCGTAATCTGATTTTCGAGTTACAAGTGGTCAGCAATTCTTGGGCCAAATCGTCGTTTTCCTGTTCCAGTCTTAAAGACGATTCCAATAATCTCTTGTTCTCCTTCTCCAGCCTATCGATAGGGTTCTCCACTTTTGTCGACTCTTTCCATATCTGATACTCTTTTTCGTATTTCTTTAATTTCTGTCGCAAATAATGTAATCAACAAAACAGTCAAAAACTATCTCTAAATAGCCATCAATTGGATGCAAACCTTCAATTTGATGGCAACGGCTGTTCGCAGCAAAAACTTTCCGTTCTCTTCGGTGCGAAACTTCTTTGGAAGCGATACTCGAAAATACTTGAGAACGCCCTCGAAGTCGAGCGCCAGTAAGTCCTTCTTGGAGATGGACAGCAGTGCCAGTGCTATCTGAAAGATGGTGTCCATTCGGTCCAACAAAAACAGGTCCAGAATGGGGAACACCACGTGGAGCGGGAATTTGGCCGTAAATAACGTTAGGAACCATTGCGAAGCATACATGTGTGCCTCAACACCTGTACCACAGCACAAGTATTAGAGTAATCAGTAACTAATGGATTCATTGATCTAATAATAACCTAAATCAGCGAAATGCGAGTACAGCTCTGGCATAAGGCTGTCCATCGCCCGTTCCAACTGATAGAACTTGAGCTGCAATTCCTCGAAGCCGTTGCGGAACAGATTTCTCAGACCGTATTCGTTCATAATCTTCACTAATACACAGAACGCCTGCTCTTCGGGCATATGGAGCAGTAGGGATGCGATCAGAAACGACAGGCCCTGACAGTAGCCGATCTCCGTGTCGTAGTTTGAATAGGCTTTGCATAATTTGAACAGCGAGTCCTGACCTGAGGTCACAATCAAAAATCAATTAATTTAATCAATAAAGTATTTATAAGTATTTATTATTACCGGAAATAAAACAAATATTTCAAAAGAAATAGCAATTAATCAATAAATAGGTAATTCTCGTAAAAATCTTAAATTCTTTAACATTATTACCGGTCATAGCATTCATAGCTTCCGTTTAATGAATAAATTATCAGAAGTATAGAAATGTAAATAATTTACAGTAACTGAAAGCAACTATACGTCAGTGCACTGAATCACTCGCAACACAAACAGTAAATATTTGATCATTTCATAGCAATTAGGGGTTAATTCCAGAACTAATCTCAAACTCACTGAACAAACATTTAAAGGTAAATAAATTAATGTCTAAAAACAAATGGTCACAAAAAGTCGTAGAAATCGATGGCATACCTAAAGACCCGCTCTCTTTGAAGAATTCGTGGGCCGGAAACGTGCGGTTAATATCCCTTTCGATGTACTTCTCATACGGCGATTCCCTGTTTATCAACACTTTGTACTGTTCCATGAGAGTGGTCTCGTCCTGACACCCGGCCAACAGCTGCCACACCTCCCCTCTCAACGCTTCAGGTATACCCCGTTTGACGAGTGTCTGCACCTGTTTGGGCCGTTGACTCAGGTTTTGGTGCCATTTGTTCAGTAACTCAGACCAACCTTCCCATAGAAACACACACTTATGATAATCTTAAGACAATTAAGACAATAATCACTTCTCATTACCATCGAGTTCTGTTTGGGAGCACTCTTTGCTGACAACACCGGTCCCACTGGGAAGCGGTTCGTCATTGTCCTCACTCTCGTCGTTGGACGGCGTGGGCAAAGACGTGACAGAACTCCTGTGCCCCTCCAGTCGGTCGCCTCCCTGTTGACCCTCATGTCGGAGCCGAAGCGCCAGTTTGTGTCTCTGGTGCGACAGTTGTGTGGCTGAGAAACAGGACACGACGTCGAAGCGGGAGTTGGGCTCCGAATTGGTCTTCTCCCTGAGCTGTACGTGAAACTGTTCGTGGAGTGGTTTGCCCTTCGAGAGGGTCGGGATGTTGATCCAGAACTTGTCTGTGGCCGACGTGTTCACTATTTTAGCCTTCGCTTCGAACACAAAGCGGACGGGCTCTTGGATGCCCTGCACCACCAGATCCACGGCTATCGTGAAGTAGACTCGTGTGTCTCGCGGCGTCTCTGTGTTTAACACTTCGAAGAGCGGTTCGCTTGGATTCCAGACACCGATTATCTGCCATTGAGTGACATTTTTGCGGCTGTTATCCATCGGAACGTTATGTCTGGTCATCGATAAGAGACCGATTGGTATCATATCCGATGACTTTATATTCCGGCCTTAAATCGGAAATAAAAACAACACTTTATATAAGACTTAGTAATAAATCTCATTATCAGGGCTTAAGAACTAAACGTCAAAACAATAGATAAGAGTAATAAAAGCTAAGAGTACTGTACTGTGAGTCAACACAATTGATAACAAAAAACAACAGTTTTGTGAAATTAAGAAACTATTGCTTAAAAATTGTCAATTCATGAGATCATCAGAAATGAAGGCAAAGACAGACACAAATTAACAAAATATAATAATAGATGGAAATGTCACGTTTGGCCCTCTGTTATCGTAAGGCTTCGTGAAGAGCTACAACTCCCATTGGGACCTAACACACCTCAGAACCTTATATCGCTATGTCTAGAAGAAGAGCCACAACCAGAATTTGAACTTCGTCTCCTTATCGCGGGGACAGGCGTTCGACTTGCCATCGGCGGTGTCCTCCTTGATCTCGAGACCCGACTCGACGATTATATTGATGTCCTGATTGGCGGTATTCGGCGGAACGCGCCTTCAAAACACAAACACAACACTTAATGACACGAAACACACGAAACAAACCAAAAAACAAACCAAAAGCCAAACATCGCATACCTGAAGGCGAGTCCGAACGCCTCGAGGATATCGGCGACCATTTTGGTGGTCTGACACCTGAACACATGGCACTGAATGACACCCGTCTCGAAGGTGGAGCCGTGGGATGCGGTGAACGCGAAACAGTTGCGTTCATTGGACTCCTGTTTACCTCTCGCGCAGAATATGATCCTCGAGATGGGGAACTGTGCCATCAGTTTCTGGTTCTCAGTCTCAGCCGCCGATGAATCACTCGCGGTGTCTGCGGTCGTGGACTCCACGCCCATCATCTCAAACATCTGAACGCACTCTTCGGGACTCTTTGGCACAATCAGAGTGATGTCCATCGCTGAGGGACTGTCGTTAAGTATAGCCATATTTCGCTGTATCTCAGCCTCACTTCGGGGCGCATTGATGGCCGCGCAGCCCAAGTATGTCACCCGTTGTCGCAGCGATGGTAAGGCCCGGTAAGGCGCCCCTCCAGT